GAGAAGGATGGAAAGATAGCCGAGGGAGAGTGGAGGGAGGGGGAGGTGTCGAGAGACGGCCCTGTTGTGGAGAGGCGAGAAAGGGGAAGGGTGAGATATCGGCGGGAGGGTGGGAAGTGGAGAGGTGGGATGTGGAGAGGTGGTTAGAGAGTGGTTTGCATCAGGGTTGGGAGGGAGGCGGGATTGCACGTGTCGCGAATGGCTTAGGGCGGCTTGCGACAGATGGGGTGGGGGGCAGTGTGCCGGCAACCTGTACAGTGGCCGCCGAGTGGGATCGCGGGGGAGGGGGGGCGTGTTGTGAGGTGAGAGAATCAATCTGAGGCCCGTTCAGGAACAGGCTCGTGACACGGAATGATGCGGCTGTACGGCTTCCATACTCGGGCGTACGTATGAGGCAGGCGGTGGATTTCGGGGATGGATTTTCGGCCGTGGAAAAGGCGAGGTGTGCGCACGTCGCGCCCGCCAGAGCCGAGCGCCTGGCCTGCTGCGGTCGAGAGGTTCGGCTTGGTGCGCTCGGGTTGGCCGGTGCGCCCATCGAAGACGCCGCGCACCTGCGTCAACGCTGCGCGCCGCGCCGCGCGGCCAACGAACGGGGCCCGGCCGTGGAGAGTCGTTGGCACGGTGAATCGGCCGCTGCCCACACAACGTATGCCGTGAAGAGGCGCACAGAGGTACTAGTGCAGTGCGCGGAGAGCGGAGCGCGGGGCGCGGAGCGCGGAGCGGGAGGATGCATGGGACTCTAGTTATTACGGCAGTTTGTCATCGTGCAGTCCAGTGCGCTCAAGTGTACTGTACCGTAAGGAACGTCGCGGGCGACGGCGGCGGCGGGGAGCGGGGCACGGCGAGCGGGGCGCGGCGAGTGAAGTGAAGTGGAGTGGGCGTGAAAGAGTGCCCGCGTGCGCGGTGTGGGGTGTGCCAGCAGCCAGCAGCTCACACCAAGCGGGATGGACAAGGGGGTGTGGCATGCGCCCGCGCTCCGCATAACGGAATACAACCAAGGGGTTTTTGATGTGCTGTTCACAGCACACATGAGCAATTGCCGGTCTACTACCGCAGCGAAGGGGACTTGTACGGCAGGGAAGGGGACTCAAGGTGGGGTACGCAGCCGGCGAATTCCAATTCCAATTCCATTCTGCCATTTCGGGGGAAGACCTGCTGCCAACAAGAGGGCCGTGCCGTGTGCCGCGGGCAGTGGCGATTTCGCAACTGTGAATGGGAGCGCGGGGCCAGACTGTGGTGGCCAACACAAAACACGTTGGTGGATGCAGGGCATGCGCGCGGCGACGCATCCTGCTGCTGGGTGACGGGGCGACGCATCATGACAGGAGGGGGTGGCAGGGCTAAGTGAATTAAGTCCACTCGCAGACTAAAGCTTATGCCGCCGTGTCGGGCTGGAAATAATGAATTCAAGCGACGTCGCAAACGTGCCCCACTCCGAAACGATCACACCCGCTGCCCCAGGGGTCTGCCCCAGCGCGTTCACTTTGTGTCGCCACCCAGCCACAGCCCGCCACTTGCCGGGCTGTACGCTTGCCTCATTCGAAGTGCTATAAACCAAGTCCTCTCGCTTTTTTAAGGGCGCGCCTTTACAGTATTCCTTTACAGCTGAAAATCAAGGCGTCTCGCTTCCAACAACTTTCAACGGGGCGACTTTACAGTGCGCTTCGCTTCTCCTGTGACGTTGTGCTCGTGCTTCTGGAAGCACCTGGAACCAGGACCCCCCCCACCCACACTTTGATCCACATCTCCGATCTTCACACACTCGACAGCCTTGCATCGCAACCCTTCCGTCCGGCTCCTCATCAGAACTACATTTACAGAACTCCGTTCTTGTCGCTCTCGCTACCATACCGATCGTCACGCCGTACAACTTCACTTCACTGTCACAACAACTCCAAAAGATCCTGCAACCAAAACCCCTCGCCCCACCGCCGAGAACAGCCCGAAAAATGAAACAACCGCACGCTCACCAGTCACCAGCTCCACGTAGCAGCCCACGTAGCTGGTAGGGGGCGGGAGCCTGCGCCGGGTGGCAGTGTTGCGCGCTGGGAGACACCAGCCGAGCCTGACTGCTCACTACACTGATCACAGCAATTAACCTGGGCCAACTTAATTCTGAAGCCCCTTTTTCAGGTCTATAACCATATTTAACATGGTCCAGATTAATTGTGAACCCAGATTAATGTATGGTCAAATCAGATATACTGTAACATGGTCCAGTTTATTTGTGAACCACTGGATTAACCTTGATTTCTAACATTGCTGACAAGTATTCAAGAAATTACGGCTCCACTTCTTGCCCATTGAAATGGACACGATGCTTGGATATTATTGTCTGCAGCTCAGAAAAGAGCTGTTCTCTTCCCAAAGACCATATCGAGGCGGCGACATGCGTTCTCGCCCTTTTGGAACTCTAAATGCGACTTATCATAAGACTGTTTCCTCCAGGTCAAAACCAATAATAACCTGGTCCAGTTTATTTCTGAACCCAGGTTAATATATAGACCAAGGTTAATTGCTGTGATCAGGTGTACTGTATCCTCATCCATTTCCTGCCCGCAGCCCGCGAAACACATCTATAGTACAGTGGTGGAAAAAATTATAAAGCACCCCCCAAAAACAGGCATTGCTGGACAGAGAAAAGCGCGTGTTTAAAAAAGAGCTTTGCAGCCCCTCAGAAAAGGACCGTGAAATACGAATCTGTAACCAGTTTTATACAGTCGGCACTATATTTTGCACAACAGTTCAATAGACATTTGACAAGTGGAAATTTTTATAATGCAGCGTGTCTTATTGTGCTCTGCATGGGGTCTCTAATGCTTCGTTGTCCCGTCCGTTGCTTTTAACAACGTCAAAACAACGCTTCTGCATTGAACCCACTAAGTTGTGGAGCGTTTGAGCTGGTCTGGCATCCTAAGAAGCCAAGATGCACTCTTCGAGCTCTTCAACCCCTCGAAACTGGCGTTGATGCTCGTACACCTTCTGAGCCAGAATTCTCTAGAGGTTTTCGATGGGGTTTAAGTCAGGAAACTTAGCTGGCCAGTCCAGAACCACCATATCCTCTTCATTAAACCATTCCCTCACGATACGAGCGCGGTGTATCGATGCCCCATCTTGCTGAAAGACCCAGCTCGGTCCCAGTTCTTGGTCCGCAAACGGCAACAGGAAGCTCTCGAGCGTCCCAATGTACTTAACTGCTGTTTGTTTGCCTTCCAAAAGCGCCAGTTCACACTTTTTCCTCCCTGCGAAGTCTTCCCAAACCATCAATGAGCCGCCCCTTTGCTGGCAATTCGAAAAAATTAGATCTTCAAGTCTTAGATCA